GAGGGGGGAGCTGGCCCAGCTCCATAGAGCCCCTGACAGCCTGGGCTCCGTGCTCCTGCCACCCCACCCTGGGCCCCCACCATCTGTGGCCTCAGGGCACTGGCACAGGCCCCACATTCTTGCCTAGCTGTCACTGCATTCCCACCCTTCCGCTCACTGTCACTCCCCCTCCCCCCCGCCTACTGCCACTGCCACTGTCATTCCCCCACCTTCCCGCCCACAGCTATCACTTCTCCCCGCCTACCTGCCTGCTGCTCTGGCACCACACTGTTCCCGGCTGCTTGATCAGGACTGCAGGACACAGTAAGTGCCAGCCCAGCCCAGCTGGCCCCCATGATTCCCGCTGGCTCCGTGAGGTGCCAGCCAGGCCGATCTGATTCCTGCAGTATTCTGTGGTCCTGATCATGTGACCGGGAACCACATGGTGCTGGAGCAGTGGGCAGGGGGGTAGCAGAGGTGGTAGGTGGGAAGGTAAGGAAGTGGCAGCAGAAGGGCAGCAGTGGCAGGTGGGGGGGGGAAGTGGCAGCAAGTGGGCAGGCGGGAGCACAGGGCCCACACCGGTGCCCAGGGACCAGAGGCGGCAGAAGCGTGGAGCCCAGGCTGGCAGGGGCTCTGCCTGTTGTGGGCTGTCAACACCCAAAGCCTCACTGCCTGCTGCTGCTGCAGGCAGATGCTGTGGGCAATGAGGGAAAGGGTGTGTGTGGGCAGACCGATTCAGAGGCAGGGTCCCACACGCACACCCCACCATCCACATGTACCAACACCCCCCCTTGCACTGCCATACACCCCCCATGCACACCCAACACCCCCCACACACCTTACAAACCCATACCCTACATACCCACACACACCCCCACATGCTCTCCCACCCCACATACACACACCCCCACAACCCCCAAACCCCACACCCACCCACAAATCACACACCCACACTCCATCCCCCACACCCCACATACCCACATACATACATCCACAGCCCCCAACAAACCTATATCCACCTACCCATACCCTCACACCCCTCCACACACATCTCCACAAGAGTAAGAGTAAGACTTCATTTTAAGCTATTATAGAATCACTTCTATGTACACTATGCGCACACATGTAAATCAGGACAAAAATATTTTTTGAAATCAAATTAATCAATGTTGTAGTAGATGTTTGATTTTTTAGAATATAAGGAATACTTCTGGGGGCAAGGGGAGGGACTTCCGATGGCAAAGGTCAGGGGCTAGGGGGTGGGACTTCCAGTCCCAAGATGGCAACCAGGGGGTGGGGCTCCTGTCAAAGGGCGGGGCTACCCATGCAGCCTTTGACCACTTGCCAAAACTCATTAAGTGGCCCTCCAGCCAAAATAATTGCCTGCCCCTGGATTAACTGGTTAAGAGAGATATGAGCTTTCATAGGTAACAAAATACTTTGTCAGATGCTTCATCAGAAGATTGCAATGCTCAACACAGCCTTCAGCTTCAACAGGAATACCCATATAACACTTCTAAAGGGGAGTTACACTATTAGTTTATGAACAGGAAACTAGGCTTATGTTTAGTGGAACTAGCAAAGCATTTTTAACACTAACTCCTGCTCAGCACTCTTCACTCCCTCAAGTTTTATCATGAGTGAACTGAACTCCAGACTGAATTCAAGCTAAACATATCAGATTATCAATGGAGTGCCACAAGGAAGGTGTGAGGGTGCTCATGTTTTCTTAGTGTTCATGTCCTTGCAATTTGTCATTTGCACATATCAGTGCTTCTGTGAATTAGGGGCACACTGATATGGCTTGAAGCCAATGAGTGACTTAATACTCAGAGAAAGTTCTGATTCACAAAACAGAGACACACTGCAGAGCCATATTCAGGTGCTGATATGCCAATAAACATGACATTTTTTACTTCAGGAGCACTTTGAAGAAAACTTGCTAATTGTCGCAGAGCACCTAGTTGCCCTGCTCCTAAAGAGGAAAAAACTTCTAGGGAAGGAGTCCTAGCAGTGAGGGATGAGCCCAGCTGTTGGTTGCCAGGACAACCAGAGGTCAGCTGACCAGAAGGGGCAGGGCCTGGCTCCCTTATAAACGCTGGGGGCTGGGGCAAGAGGCATTCCCCTGCCAGCAGCCAAGGAGGAAGGAGCTCCCTGTCAAGGAAGAGAGGAGAAGCCTGATGAAGGAAGAGTGTCTGACACGGCTGCGAGATGAAGAATCCCTGGGTAAGCTTGAATGTTGTTATGGCCAAGCGGCTTCCATTTAAGTTATAGCCGGAGGGCTTGTGTTTGTGACTGGTGGTTTGGGTGAGGCTATTAGGGGTTGGAGGAGGCCTCATAGGGGACCCACAGCAGTGTGGGGACCCCAGCGCCAGTAAGGGCACAGCATTGTGGCAAAGCCCTAGAGAAGGGGGCAGCATTGTGGCAAATCCCTAGAGAAAGGGGCAGCATTGTTAAGAAGGCCCAGAGAAGAGGGCACATAGTGAGATAGGGCCAGGGAGAGCCCTAACACCGGAGAGGGCATGTATCCAAGGAACGAAGGCCCAGAGAGGACAAGGAGGGGCCAGATTGTAATAAGGCTAGGACATAACATCTATTGCATCGGTGAGGCGTGGGCTGTGGTGTATGGGAGGTAACAGAGCCACAGATAGCACCCCCCTGGCATTGGGACAGTAAAAGGGCAGCTTCCTGCTAATTAACATCAATTAATCAATTAACAGCAAGGTGTGGCAGGCGAGAAGGCAGGTGGTTGCCCCAAGAACAGGTGGGCGGGCCACGGAGATCGGCCCAAGTAGGCCCCCTATTACACTAATATATGCAATTTCTTGCAAACTTACCACAGGAGTAGTGTGTTAAAGAGATCAGATAAATGTCAAATTTGATACAACAGTGCCAGAGAAAAAAATGGAGGTGGGAATATGCTGTGGTACGCAACAGAGTAGAGAAACACATACTGAAATGATATATTAGGGGCACACTGATATGGCTTGAAGCCAATGAGTGACTTAATACTCAGAGAAAGTATTACTTGCTATACTTAAGATATATTGATGACATCTTCATCATTTGGACTGAAAACCTACAATCTCTGAGTTCCATCAGAAATTCAACAATCACCATCCCCCCATCCAACTTTCTCTAGAATACTCCAGCACCAGCATCTCCTTTTTAGACACGATGATCAGTATCCAGAATGATAAAATATAGACCACGTTATACAAGAAACCCACAGACCAACATACATATCTGCACAGAACCAGCAATCACCCTAAACACACCAAAAACGCTGTGATATACAGCCATTTGAAAGAGCCACCTGGATACCACGTGAAGAACTGCTGCAGTACAGAAGAAACCCCCACACAAATCGCACACTGCTAGTTATGACGTATCACCCCTCCCTTGAACCTGTACAAAAAATCCTCAAAAAATTGCAACCCATACTAGACAGAGACCCTATTCTTAAAAAGATCTTCCCAGAGCCACCCATCCTAGCCTTCAAACAAGCACCAAACCTTGCCAACCTCATTACCAGAAGCAAACTTCCTCAAGCCCAGAACACATCAAAAGGATCCAGACCATGCCAGGACAAGAAATGCAAAACCTGCCAACACATCTCCACCACCCCCACTATTATTACACCCCACAACAGGGCCATCAGCATCCCTGGATCTTACAGCTGCACCTCCAGAAATGTAATATATTTCATCCAATGCACCAAATGCCCTGATGGAAAATACGTAGGGAGACCAAACAACAACTGCGCACCAGAATGAATGCACACCAGAAATCTATTAAAGACAGAAATACCCAATTACCGGTGTGGGCACATTTCTCACGGGAGGGCCACTCTCTCTCCAATCTCTCAGTCCTGATCCTCAAGGGAAATTTACACAACACTTCCCAGAGACGAGCCTACGAACTCCATTTCATCAACCTCCTGGATACTAGAGATCATGGACTAAATATAGACATTGGATTTATGACACATTATAATCTGCCTGGCAACTGACTCCCCAGCCCAGCCTCTGGCTTCTTTACTTTTCATTCCATCCAGGAAGAGCACACACCAACTGCTGAAACTTCCTTAGCCTGACGAAGGGTTTTTGAACCCGAAAGCTTGCTTAATAACTATTCTCCAACTATTTGGGTTGGTCTAATAAAAGATATCAAATTCACCCAAGGAACCTTGTCTGCCTGAAACAACCACTGCATATGAAATTTAGGCAATTATAGTGAGCTACCTTAAATGGCATTCTAAGTATGTAATGACACCAAAAATAAAGATGGAACAAAAATCTGCAATACAGAGCTTCTTTTCCAAAGACAATCAAGTGAGAGCTGATTTTTCCAATCAGAAGGCAAAATGCACTCTCTGGAAGGGGTAGTACCCAGCATTCAATTGCAAGCCTGAAATATGTTTCATGAACCATTCTTAAATGTGTGTATTCCATCAGTCTCACATTAAGGAACCAAGATCAAGAATGAGAGTCTTGCATAGAAAGTCACTTTACAGAAATTATAATATTACTATCATCAGAATAATTAAAGAAACTGTAATTACAGCTGATCTAAAGTTTTTCAGGTTTCAAAAAAGACTAATTAAATTTCACTAAAAGATTAATAAATGGATTTGTGAATTTTTTTGTCCTTTTAAACCAGCTATATTACTAATAAAATTAACAACGAGCTTCTATAGTACTTAAAATCATACATTTTAGTGAAATTGATATGAAATATTACACAGTTAATTTTACAGATTAATGTGCAAGGAGTCATGCAAACCAACTCATCACATTAGTGTAACTTTTTACATCTTGTTATCAAAGGAAGGAAAAGATGCACCTTTAAACTCTGTACAGCAAACTGCAACCATTGAATTTTGTGTATGTAGAAGACAATAAGCAAGTACAGCTGTCTTTTTAATTGGTAGTAGGAAAATTATAGGCAATATCAGAAAAAAAGATTTTGCTAATCTCATTTAACTTTCATTCGGCCACAGGGTAACTTAAATGACTTACCTTGAAGTAGAGCAGCAATTTGGAGTGATTGCTGAGATGGATGTTCTTTAAGAATATCTAAAACTGTTCTACCTAAACTGTCCTTTATGTAGGTATCAATTCCTGAAAGAGAAAATTATTGTGTTCTATTGAAAGCAAAGCAGTTAAACCCAAGTATTGCAAGCTATAAATGTAGTACACGAAGCTCAACTGTCTTGTAAATTGGTTACAGGCAGTTTTACAAGTATAACGGAACAAACCACTCTGCTACAGGTAAGTTTCAGCACTGCTTTCTGGTACGCAAATCAACACATTGTTCTAATATTTCTAGGCACAATTAGATTGTAATCCTCTCCAAATTGATCTTATTCACTTGGGATTTAGGTAGCTAGTGCATTGCACCTGTGCCCTTTTTTTGGAAGCAATGCTGAAAAAGCTATTAACTTTAGAACTTCAGGTCAGCATGTGCCAAAGTCACGCAACAGACTGAAATACTCATGTGCAGCATGACTAAGGTTGAACTAGCAGCCAGACAATTTCAAGGTAGAATGTTGCTATAGTAATTGGGTGGCTCAAGTAACTGTGTTATGGCTACTGAAAGTCAGTGATAGTCATAACCTGTGAGTTTGAACTCTGTCCTTGGTATGTCAGATAAAGTGTATTGTACATGTTTCTTGCTCTTTCCAGAGTATCATTTTTTTAAAGTTTTGCAGTGAAACCAAAATTTCTAGGTTCAAAAGTACAGTAAAATCCATGTACAGGCTGTGATTTTACTTAAGATATTAATAATGTCACAGAAATTAACACTGATTAAACAGAGGAAAATTAAAGACTAGGAGACAATTATAGGAATGTTATTCATGACTCAATAAGTTTACTCATTCAATAATGAAAATGAATGTGATCAAAGGAAAGCAAGTCAGTGGGCCATCTGATCAGTGGGTTTGGATATACAGCTTCCCTCAAATGAATTGCTAATAAAATGTTTACATTTTTATAAGTTTTATGGGGACGAGTTATGAAATATAGGTCGTTAAAACAATTACTGTATTTACTCAAATGTAAAACAAGGTTTTTCCCGCCCAATCAGCATGGGAAAAAAGCTCCTCATCTTACACTCACATACAAGGAAATCTCATTAAATACAATGCCACTAAACTGCTGCCAAAAGCAGCATGTGCTCAGTAATGGAAACCAACTATGAAGTTGATTAAATGCAGCCAACATTGAGCATGACTATAAAATACATGGCCCATATTGGGCAAACATACTGATGGAAACCCTTTCTTTTTTTATTTCTTTTTCTTTTTGTGTGGGACCCTTGAAAAAAATGGGCAGTGCTCCCCCAGAAGAAAATGAGCACCAGGCCTGGAGGTACTGCAATACCAGGCTGGGATTCAGAGAAGCCAGAGAAAGCTCCAACACCCTCCCCTGGTGCCAAAAATACTGATGGAAACCTACCACATTCATATTTATGAAAATTCTTCATGTACCAGGTCAAATTAGCCAGATCAGTTTCAAAACCTTTGAGTCATTCAAAAGCCTTATTACTGTCAAGTATCCTTCACCCCAGATTTTTCAACCTGAGGCTTCAGATACTTACAAATCCTTTAGCAGGATGAAAACCTACCCTTTTTTTAAAGGAAAAAAATTGTTACCAAAGACCCATCACATGCTTGCCAAGTTTTTAATCAATTAAGGAATCATCCCCTCTTATTTTAAACTAACACCCACTTCCTTCACTTCCATACTTTTCTTGTTATAGCCAACAACATGACGGGATGCAGAGGTTAGAGAGATGTTTCCCGTGCACAGTCCCATCTTCCAGAATGATGCCTTCAGGCCAAGGTATGAGCCATAATCTGAGAGATAATGTCCCCTTGGAGATATCTGAGTTCAACAATCTGTTCCCATCTGTAAGGCAGGATCTGGGAAATTTTCCCTGCTAGCAGATGATGGAGGACCTCTCCTTGCCCCCAACCTGTAAGCCTAAATTTAGCAGGGATACTTCTGGAGTGTCTAAGATGCACTTTCTCTCTCCCCTGTGTATATGAGCTAATATATAATACGTCTTGTTCATTGGGGACATCTAAGACCATAAAATAATTACTTTGATTTACCTAAACTTCCTTGCCATGAGGTGCCAGTGTTCTTAGGAAGCCAGTGTTCTTGGGACAACACCACAATTGAGGGATGCTGAATGTAAAAAAAGGTTTTAACCTAACCATATAATTCCTTTTGTCTCCTTGTCTCCTACCCACTTTGAAGGGTGAAGAACCTATCTTAGGATCTACCATATACCTGGACAAGTGATCACTTCCTACCCTTGAAGTAGAAGAGCCAGCTTACTGCACAAAAAGACTGCCCTTGTCAACTGAACACCAGCATGTGACTAGAAACTTTCAGAGCACCTTGTGGTCTGTTCCATGTTCAACTTTGTTCTCTAGAAGTTGGCAAACCTTTAATATGTAAGGATAATGTCATCAAAATGTCTCAGCATACATACCATCTCTGTCTGTTGGCAACCTAAGCATCTGGGCTGGAACAGAAGACTGAAGAGAAAAGGCACTTTTTGAAATGAAGGACATTTCTTAGTCTAAAAAAACAAATATAATGTAATTAGGTTTACCTGTTTCTAGCAAAATATGTACTACATCCACCTTTCCAAATAAAGCAGCTTCATGTAGCGCACTTCCCTTTTCTGTCTGGAAAAGAGCATTATGAGAGCATTAAAACCGTAAAATAAAATACCAAGGAATCCTTTCAAAAACAATATATTTGGATAAAGAATATTGACTTCTTGCTCTCTTTTATCTTAATTAAAACCAATGACTGGGCAAGAACAATTCCCAATAATATTTATTTAAATAATCCATTGCTTCAAGGTTAAAACACAAAGAAATGGAGGCACTCTTATTGAAAAAATAGCTAACAACCAAACATAAGATACAGTATATGTAGGCCCTGATCCTCCAGTTCTGTCTTACATAAAATCCCTAGTGAAGACAATGAATAAAATTGAATAAAATTTGCAGCACCGGCAATAAAAAGTAGAGAAAGCAAATAGATCTCTGTTTTAGGATTTTCTACTGCTGCTCATCATAAAAGTCATCGTGTTCCTTTCATGTAAAATTTATAGCAATAGTAAAACCTCTAATGAACTTTCTGGAACCTTTGGCTCCTTTCCCTTTTGAGGTAAAAACTTGGGGTTTGTTTTAGTTTTCCTTCCTTGTGCTTTATTTTGATTATTTAGTTAAGGGGTTATTTTGTTTCAGTTTTGCTTCCGCTGAGCATTGCATTTGGTTAGATGGGAGTCAATGTTGTGCATACCATTCTTGCTATGATGGAAAAAATACTTTTACCCTGTGGAGCAAAAGAATAAGTTTTGTCATTCCTGTTTTTTTCAGAATGTAACTGTCTTGCAGTAACACAAACCATATACCTTTCTGGTGCAACGTGGCATGCAACACAACATTAGTATTACACAGCTCTGCAGGAGCAAGAAGTATAGTTCCAAATAAATGTTGGTAACTGGAAATAGCTGCTGTATTTTGTTTCTGCATTACTGTACTTGAGATAAGCCAGAATTCTTAAGTGCAGTGCTTTTGCATTCATAACTGATCTGCAAATATACTAACATATTTTTATTTTCTATACTATAGCAAATAAATTCAAGACTTATGATCAGTTTTCTCTATCTTACTCCCTGCAAGATTTTATGCCCTTTAGGAGTATGTTCCCTACAAAGTAAGTGTTCTTAGTGTGACTAGAAATCCTCCTAAAAGGACATTTATTGTGATGGATGCCAAACATATTTCATAGGGACAATGGAACATATTTTGCTCTCCTCTGTACTAATGAAATATGGAGCAATTCCAATTAGTACCATTTTCTACACAGCATAATTAGGCTTGAGGCCCCTTTGTAAAAGGCATATAGTAAAAGACAGCACCTTGATTCAGTAAAAACAGACCACACCTGAAAGGGGGACATTGAAACAATCAAAGAGAAAAGGTGAGGAAAGTTACAGGTAATAACATTAAGGAACACAAGGACATATAAATCAGCTGTGTGTACAATTTGCAGGCTTAATTGCTAGGGCTGTGCAAAGCGTCAGTCCCTGATTCGATTTGGCAAAGATTTGGCTTGATTCAGTGACCAAAACTCCGAATCCAAATCGAATCAGGAGACCCTTTAATCTCCCTGAATCGAATCGAAACCCTCGGAATTGATTCAGAGATTCGGCAATTCAGACATAAACACAGCTTTAAATGTTTTTTCTACATATCTCTAGGTACCAGGCAGCTCATGAATGCTGTGATGGTGGGGTGGATGTAGCATCCCACAGGAGCATGGTGGGGGTTCCCCAGCATGCTTAGCAGCAGACCTAGAAGTGGATCAGAAGCACTTCTGGTCCACTTCCGGGTCCACCAGGGAGCATGCCAGGGAGTCTTCCCCCTCCCCACGCTCCTCCAGCTTGATGACTGGTGCCTCCAGGGTCTGGGGGGGGGCACCCAGGATCCCCCCACAGCCGATCGCTGAGCCGGGGGGGACACAGGGAGGCCCCCAGCGCACTCAGTGGAGGACCCAGAAGTGGACCGGAAGTACTTCTGGTCTACTTCCAGTTCACTGCTGAGCACACAAGAGGCCCCCCGCACTCCCGTGGGATGCTCCATCCACCCCAGAATCACAGCGTTCACGAGCCGTGCCTAGTACCTTGAGGTATATAGAAAAAACATTTAAAGCTGTGTCTATGTCCGAATCGCTGATTCTCCAAATCAGCATCAAATCTTCAGATTTGGATTCGGGTGAATCAAACCAGGGACAGAGAGCTGAATCCATAAACTGAATTGCTGTCCCCGATTCGGGCCAAATCTGAATCTGAACTGAATATGGCCTGTTTTGCACACCCCTATTAAGTGCAAGCTTTAGGAGTTGTTGTTATTATTATTTAATATATAAGGAAACAAGAGTTTTTAATTAATCTCGAAACAGGCCACTGGTCTAGCCTTATCAGTATGGAGTTTACTATTTGGCTTCATAATAAATGTAGGTTTCAGGAGGTTAACTGAAAGGAAAGGTACTAGCTTTAGAAATTGATTCAGGAAATGGGCCCCACAAATACATGACAGAAACAGAAAAATATTTGGGGAAGAAAAAGACTCACCGGCTGGAAGTGCCACTGTTAAGAAAACAGGTTGGGTGGATGTCAACGCAGGGTTAGATTAAATATTGGATAAACAAAGGGCTAAATTGTGACTGATCTTTACAACTATACAAGTAGCCCTTCCATTGAAGACATTGAACTGTGCGTGAACTTATTTTTTACTAAGGGCCCAAAGTCTATCACTCACCAAACCTGTGCATTTTTCACGTTTCAATTAAAATGAAAACTTCAAAGCATAAACAGGTGAAGCTGATTTGTATTGCCCACTTCTAAATAATTTCAGACTGAAGGACATTGGATAGACCTGGGAAATGAATAAAATGTGTAATTAATTAAATCAAAAGTTAAGTGTTGTCTATTATTAGTCCAAATATTTGCTATGATTAAAAATGCTCAGGGAGTATTAAAGTGAAAAAGTGGCTAAAATAGACCTTCCATTTAAACAAATAAATGTTTACAATTACAAAGGAGATTGCAGATACTTCTATAATTGTCTCTCTACATTCTGGGAGTTCTTTACTGCTGATAAAAATGAATTTGTATAAAGCCTATGAATGTGTACAATTTAATTTACCACATGGGATTATACTTTTACATTGTTCTTTCCCAATCAGTGATGCAGAGCAATTTAATGAATATTAAAACAGATGAGTTCAGTTTTAAGTAATAGACAGATATGGTATGCTCTGTTCAGTTTAATGAACTGACAGTAATCATCAACAAAGAAGTTTTCAGAGGTTATAGAAGTAATAAGTTAAAAATTCAGATAAAGCTAACTTGGCAGTGTACCAAGATGCACAATGAAGGGAACTCGTTGATGGAGAAGACGGATCGTGTTGGTAAAATAAATAATAATGGACCACAGGGCAATCACAGTAGAAACCGATGTTAAAAGAAATAAAAGGCTAACATCAAAACTGATTTTAAAAGTTAGGGCAATTTATAAGGCAATTCTAATTTTCTTATATAAATGGCAAACAGAATGCCATTACATAGTAGTGAATATTTTCCATTCCTCATTAAAACTAGGTAAGCTACCATATAATGATTAGAGGACAAACTAAATTTAAAAAGTATAGTGAATAAACTGTAGTGATACTGCATATAAAACTGGTTTAGGAAAAGTCAAAGCAGATGCAAAATGATAAAGATTACATAGGAATGAGTACAAATTGTATAGTGATGTGGATAACATTCATCCCTCGGTATAGCACCATGATGATTTTCAGTGGAATACACTGTTTTCTGTTCAAATCCTTGTCAGTGCAGATTTCTTGTTTTTCCCCTATTGATTTGCTGAAGGTCTAACAGCATCTATAAAAAGTATTTTGGAGAAATGTGTTGTATTTGTAGTTTCTCAAAAAATACCATACCTGTATCCTAAAAGAAGTAACAAGTAGCTGCATGTAAGACATGACATAATAAAGGAGAAAGAAAATTGCACACTAACTTGGCAGCTGACATCCATTCCAGCCTCTAGAAGCACCTGTACAACAGCTTTGTGGCCATTACGTGCAGCCAGATGCAAAGGTGTATGTTTTCTAGTGTTGCAGCTCATCAAATTTGGATAGGCTTTGATGATCATCTTTACTACCCGTAGACGCCCGTAAAGTGCTGCCAGATCCAAAGGAGTTTCTAATTTGTTGTTTCTTATTGTTGGGTCTGCTAGCTCTTCCAGTAGAACAGCAACTACTTCTGAATGTCCATACTGAGCTGCACAATGCAACGGTGTTTCATTTTCATTGTTCTGTTAAAAAAGAAAATCTTAAGAAGTTCATGTATGTTAACTCTGCATCAGTATGTTAACTCTGCATCAACAAACTGCTTCTAAAAATCATTGTGACTACAAAGTTTGCAACATGATGCACTTTAAAGTCTTAAAATGAATTTACTAATGTTTTACTAATAAAAGGAGAATGTCGAACTCTGACTAACCTGTGATCTTCAGACAATTCAGCTGCCCTTTGCTCACCCCCTCACCCCCTTGTACCCTAACTTAATAGTCTGCACTGCTAGAATCAGTGCATTTATAGAAAAGCAAACTTTGGTATCATAATAAAGAAAGTACAGAGAAAAATTGTAAAAATGAAAAATGTTTTAACACTGCACTGCTTTGGTATATCACTACAAGCATCTGCTAAAGCAGAAGTAGGCAGGCAACCTTTTTTACCTGCTCGCCAGAACAACCCACCCTGGGTCAGAAGCAGACAAGCTATTAGGAACACAGGGAGAGCACCCACAGCACAGCTAAAGTCCCTCATCACCAAATCCCATTGAAGCCTCCCGGCCATGGACAAATGGCTATAGGCTGCCGACCCTTTTGCTAAAGACTAATTTGTCTACTTGCTAAAGACTAACAATTACTATTTGTGATAAGACCTGTAGAAAGCAAAATGACCATTTTACATTTCAAAAATACACTATCCAGTATATTGTCTCTTTTCAGTGTTGCAAATTACTGTTTGCATGTGTGTCTCAAGTCATAGGAAACCTTTGTGTGCTGTGGAATGTTTGTCATTTTACAGCCTATTTTCCTACATCATTACCACATTTACATATGAAAATCTGAAATTTGCACATAAAATGGCCAATTCTATTAATCTACCTCAGGGATGTCAAACTCACTTGAGAACCCAGGCCAGATCTGAACTAAGGTGCTCCTAGTGGGCCAGATCCAACCTGGGGCATGAGGGCTACTGCAATGGCTACCATGGTGGTGGCATGGGGTCAGGTGGGGACAGAAATTCAATGGCTACCATGGTGGTGGCATGGGGTCAGGGGGGGACAGAAATTAAGGGCACACTAGGGGCAGAGAGAGTGCAGGATCTGGCAGTGACAGGAGAGGGTAGTGGTGGTCCTGGGTATGGTGGCAGCTAGAGCAAGGACAGTGCAGGTTCCAGTGGAAGAAGTAGTGTCCAGCAGTGGTTGAAGTCCAGGGCTAAAGAGGGAGGGGGCAGAGGCAGAGACAGCAGGAGAGCAGAGTCTGCTGGCAGTGAGCCAAGCTCTCCACTGATGGCCATGTCCAACAGGGCCAAAGGGTTCAACTTCTGGTAGCCCCACAGCTGGAGAGAGAGGCTCTGAGGACCAAATCTGGTGCACAGCCCATGTTTGATACCCCTGATCCACCTTATTTGCAATGCTAGTAGTTTTATGAAAAAATAAATATCAAATAATATTCATATTTATATGACCACTTTAAAAAATGTGAGCTCAAAAAAAATCTTGTAAAATTTCAGAAGATCAATCTAAATTTATAAATTAGATATAGCTACTCACTATATCACTAATTATGAAGGATGGGCTGAAAATACCTCTATTTAAATGAAGAACGCATGCCTGAATTTTTACATAAGATATTAATAGAAAAGTAGATGAAAACACTGTTTTTATATAAGAAATTCTGTAAACCTGAACAAAACTTTATTTCTGCAACAAATATCATCATTTTTTGCCAAACCCTGGCCCAGATCCTAGTCTACCTAAGATACCTAAGTTTACACAGTCATTTGACCAAAAAATATTCATGCTATTTCAGAATCTGAACAACAAGTGGAACTGTGGTCATATTATTAGGAAAAAGTATAGAAGAGAGGAGCTTAACCTATGGCTCACAGGCCAGGTGTGGCCCATGAAGCCCATATTAATGTCTAATTACCTGGAGCTCTGCATAGTCAGATCTTATAAATGACAAGTCTTGTCACGGCTCATTATTTCCTATGCAGCCCTTGGACCATTTATAATTTTAAGGTTTGGGCTGCTTGTAAAAAAATGTGAACACAACTAGTATAAAAATATTGTACAGGCATGCAGGGAAAAAATCAGAAAGGCCAAGGCATGATTTAAGAGGCAACTGGCAAGGGATGTAAAAGGCAATATAAAGGGATTCTACAAATATGTTAAAAGTAAGAGGAAGACCAAAGAAACCATTGGCCCAAACTGAATGCAGAAGACAATCTAGTTATACATGATGCAGACTAGAGGTTGAAGTATTTAATTCTTTTATTACTTCATTCTTTATAAATATGGGCAGTTGCCAGTTGAACAGCTTAGAATAGTGGCAGAACAGGTTAGGGATTACTTAAAGAAGCTAGATGCTTTCAAATTAAGAGATGTGGATGGGATATGCCGTAGGGTAGTGAAGAAATTGACTGAGGTAATTTCAGGGCCACTGGTTATCTTCTTTGAGAACTTGTTGAAGTTGGATGAGGTCCGGAACCTCAAACAAAGGCAAATAAAGAACTGTCTTTAGAGAAGGAAGAGGATCCCAGGAATTACAGACCAGTCAGTGTAACCTCAGTACCCTGATACGACACAGACCTAACACCCTAACCTGGCGCAGGTAAAGCTTGGAATCCATAGCAGTCACTGTCCTGCTTCAACAAAATGTTGTCAAGAGGTCCTCGATAGATGGCCATGCTACCTGCTTCAGAGGAAGGCAAAATCCCCAACTGTTCATATCAATCTGACCATGAGGTAAAAGTTCTTCCTGACCCCAAATATGGTGATTAGTTTAACTCCGAGCAGAGGCGCAAGAACCTCTAGCCAGGAACCTCTGGCTTTGTTCCTAGCAGGAGAATTGGCACACCTCCGTTAAAATCCCCAACCTTAGCTGCAGCCAACAACCAATGCCTCTGGGGAGGCTTAAAAACATATAGCAGAAAAAAGGGAGGAGGCAGGAGCAATCAACAAAGCCTAGAAGCATGAGAAATACTCACAGGAGAAAATAGGTAAAGCTACACCTAGATCATCCCTGACCAATGACTGTCCAGCCTCTTCCTGAACACCTCCAATGATGGAGAGTCCACAACTTCCCTAGGCAGTCTGTTCTACTGCTTCACTATTCTCACGGTGAAGAAGTTTTTCTGGATATCCAATCTAAATTTACTTTGCTGCAACTTCAAGCCATTTGTCTGTGTCTTCCTCTACATGGCAGAAGACAAAAGGTGCTTTCCCTCTTCTTTATGGCAGCCCTTCAAGCATTTGAAGACTGAGATCATGTCCCTTCTTGAGTGCCTTTTCCGCAAGCTGAACATACCTAGCTCCTTCAGCCTCTCCTCATATGACTTGCCTTCCATCATCTTTGTTGCCTGCCTCTAGACCCTCTAACTTCTCCACATTCTTTTTAAATGTGGAGCCCAGAACCACACGCAGTACTCCAGATAAGGCCTAACCAGTGCTGAGTAGAGACGCACTATAACCTCCCATGACTTGCACCTAATGCTTCTATTGATGCAGCCCAAAATCACATTGGCCTTTTGTGTGGTTGCATCACACAGCAGACACATATTGAGTCTGTAGTCAACCAAGACTCCCAAGTCCTTTTCCATTGAGCTGCCGTCCAGCCAGGGTGTCCCCCAATTTATACTTGTATTTGTGATTATTTCTCCTGAGGTGTAGCACCTTGCAGCTTTCTGCATTGAACTTCAGGCTGTTAGCTCTAAACTTTCTAATCTGTTGAAATCCTTCTGAATTGCACTCACATCCTCCATGTTCATAATCTTTCCCAGTTTTGTATTGTCCATAAACTTGCTCAAGAAGCTTTCTATGCTAGCATCCAAATTATTAATAAACATGTTGAACAACACTGGGCCCAGAACAAGACCTCTGTGGGACTCACTAGAAACCTCCTGCCATTCTGACATAGATCTATTAATAACCCTTTGCTTATAGCTATTGAGCCAGTTATCTATCCACCCTGTAGTAGGTTTATCCAGGCTACAGTTCTCCATTTTGTTTATGAGACGGTCATGTGAGACCTTGTCAAAAGCCTTGCTGAAATTCAGATACACTATATCCACAGCATTCCCTTCATCCATCCAAATAGTTACTTTGTCAAGGAAGGAGATCAGGTTTGTTTGATACAATTTGCTGTTCATAAATCCATGCTACCTGCTTGTGATCAGCCTTTAGTCCTCCAGATGCTTGCAAATGGCTTTCCTTAAGATATGTTCCAGTAACTTTCCAGGTATTGAGATGAGGCTAAAGGTGAGTAGTTCCTCAGGTTCTCCTTGGCTTTTTTAAAGAGGGGCCTTCTGGTACCAAGCCTGTCTCCCATGACTTTATGAAGATGATTACCAAGGACTCCAAGATCTCCTCTGCCAATTTCTTCAGGACCCTGGGATGAAGCTCATCCTGCTAATTTGAATTAATTCAGACCCAACAAAAGCTCTCTGACTGTCTCTTTTATCTCCTCCTTCAGCTTTCCCCTTCCTTATCCAGATAATCCCTAGCTGTCTGGCAGATTAACTTTTTTGTAAAGACTGAGGCAAAGCTGCTGAGGAGCTCCACCTTCTTTGTATCTTTGGTTAGGAGTTCCCCCCGGCTTCTTAATAGAGGACCCGCAGCTTCTTGTCTTTTCCTGGCCAACGTGCTTGTAGAATGTCGTCTTGTTGTCTTTAACCTCCTCTGCCAGGTGTAGCTCATTCTTTATCTCTGACTTCCTGACTTTGTCCCTCCAGTTTCTTGCTATTTCCTTGGTGACCTGCCTATTCTTCTATTGTCTGTATGCTTTCCTTTGCATTTGTGGCATTTTAGAAGTTCCTTGAGCAGCCACACTGGTCTCTTGGCATTCTTCTTGTGTCTCCATTGTGTTGGGACAGTTTCTTGTTGATCTTCCAGTACTGTGCCCCATAGAAGTTTCCATCCCTCCTGGCACCTTTATCCTTCAATCTATCCTCCCATGTTATCAATAGGGTTGTGCGAAGAGGCCAGTATTCACTGCAGATTCAGATTCAGCTGATTCTGGGG